TAATACTTTTAATAATAAAACTTTAATAAGTTTAATAAGTTCCTGTATTTTTGATATTCCATATTTACTAAATTCATCTTACATATTGTTAATAAAGTTAACTTATTAAAAGTCAAGAAAATTAAAGTTTTTAAAAAATATTTCTATATTTGAAGCTATTTTATTTTCTTAATTTCATCTACAATTCTTATTGCTGCCAACCCACAACCAAACAAAACTACTATTGCTCTAGTGCACTTCAAAATAATAATTTTACATATATAATTAATTATTTAATACTTTATAATAAATTAAAATTTTGGAAATTTGCATTCTAATTTTCATATTGAAGAGTATGTAAATTTCTCAAAAGATTTCCAAGTATTTGCATGACTTCACATTTATAAACTAATTCATCACTGTTGAATATTAATTATATTTAACATCTGCCATTTTTATATTTTATATTAATAAATTCTGATATTTTAGAAGTTTTAACGAAAAGTAATTATACTTAAAAAATTTAAAGAACTTAAAATGGGTTGAATTCTGAATTTTAAAATCATATGATTGATTAATTTATTTTCAAAATTCATAAAACTAATTTCCTACAAAAAAAAAATTACAAACTAAAAGTAATACAAACTTTTAGAAACTTTATTCAAATCTTTTGCAGTTATTCGCATTAGGAAAAAATAAAAATACGACCTTAAATAGCAAATAAGGCTTTTCCAAAATATTAAAAACAAAAGTGATAAAAATTATATAAATAAAAAGGATAAAATTAATTAAGTTTGTAGCTATAAATTAACCGAAAAGAAAGATATAAAATTAAATTGATTATAATAAACATTAATCTCTGGAAACCGTGCAGTTCGATAACATAATATACAAGACAATAATTAAGGTTTATAATCATTAATCACTTGAAAAAGTCATCAGGGAGAAAGTTAAATAACTAATGGAAGACTGCCAAATGTTAGAAGATGGCCAGAGGCATTTTAAAGTACCTGTTTTCGAAATGCATCTGTACAAATTCCTTTTCCTTTTTTTTTTTACAAAGAAACAAAACTTATTATAGATAAGGCCACATGTTTACATGAATATATTTATATACATTTAAGCATTTTGATCATAATTCTAAATTTAAAACATGATTTTAAAGTACAACATAGTATTGTTTACATTACACAGTATTTATATGTTGTATTATATGTTATACTGTATATAAAATATAAACGTTATTATACTTAAAATTATTTAATTGTAATAGAAAATGAATTAATTATGTTTAGATTAATTACAATATACAGTAAAATGAATACAGTTTACTAAATGTTTACATACACATAAATTAATAATATACTGTATTACTAAATGTTATTTAGACAATAAAATTGACTTTTTAGAATTAATTAAATACGTAAATAATTTAAAATTTTTATAAAGTTTTTAAATTTACCTTCCCTTTCTGAAAGAATTCGACGAAACCAGCCATTACAAAAATGTGTACACTTTTCCCATCAACAATTCACTTACGTGACGTCAATGGTCTGCTTTTTACCATTGGACGAACGATGACTCATCGTCGGTAGGCGTGTCGATTGCGTCATCGTCATTTTTTAAAAATCGTTATTGCCAGTCACGTGACCGATTTATTTAAATTTATTATTATTATTATTTTTTAATATTTTAATTATATAAATATTTCTTCGTTAAAGAAGTCATATTTTTAGTCATTCCACTTAAAATAGATTGTGTAAAAGGAAACACGTAGTTATCTTTATAATGTTTGTTCAAAAATAATTAAATTAATCCAAAAATTCATCCGTTGTCTGTTTACTGCTTAAAACAAGTTTTTATACTGTACAAATAAGATCCAATTATTTGATAGAATCAAATATTATTAATAAAGTACGCCCTTTCAATGTGTATCGATTAAATTTTTATTATTTACTTTCTTATCAATTTAGTTATCTATTTTTTATAGTTCAACAAAGTGGAAGGGGCTCACTAGTGTCTGGCCGAGTGGATAAACCCTGAACATTCATAGTAATTAGTCGTGGATTCGCCCCTAACTAACCGACTTGTTATGTGGAGTTTTCCGGATTTTCTTCACAAAATAGAGATCATTTTCCCATAGAAAGCTCTCCCTGGAGGTACATTCCACTTGATAGATCAACCAACCAAGTGTTATCACGTAAATAGGAACCATCCTCCAAAGAAAGTCCTTCTAAGAAGCATTCTTCTTGGCGGCAAATCGCTCAAGTATTGCACTGCCTTATCCCATGATATCTAGAATCCTTTTTAATGAAAATGAACTTCATATATATGTTTTCGTTTTGTTGACTACACTGGAGAACAGAGATTATTATAGATATTTAGAAACTTCCAGAAAAGTAACTTGCAGTAAATTACTGAATTTCCATGGAATAAGACAACGCAACACGTGTGCAATGTACCAAGGATAGCTCCCGAGAGGACTTTCTATGGAAAACTGCCTCTTATTCGTTAGGCAAGTAAAGAAAATCAGTAAAACCACGCTGCCAGCTCGATGGCAAACGAACGTCTCGCCCCCAGAATAACTCCTGCAATTAGTGTCTTTAACTTGCATTGAGGTGTTTTTTTTTAAACTCTTTCCGCCCTGCGGACACTAAGAGGGTCTCTTTTAGTAAGCCCATTATGAGTTTAGCCAGGCCCACATTGGGACGGGGCCCGACATAACCGGACGGACTACCCCCTGAAAAATTTCTAGGAATTTTTCGACCGGTCCGAATTCGATTCCGGGTTTCTCAAAGCGGTAGGCTGCCATCTTGACCACTCGGCCATACTACCACACTTGCATTGAATTCAGTTACAAGACCCATCTTATTGGTACAACCAAAGTGTCTGGTGTTGTAAGTATTAAAGATGTTATACTGTATATATATTTATGTTTGTTTTTATAAAAGCGAAATAATTTGATTACCTATTATTTGTAATGACTCAAAAATCATCACTCACATATTTCATGCAACTAATTCATACTCGTAATTTTGAAATAAAAATAATATTAAATATAATTTAAATATAAAAAGTTACAGCACTATAAATGAATATAAACTAAAAATTAATAAATTTTATGAATTTCATAGTTTTAGTTTGTTTTGACAATTCAATTTAACAAACATGGAAACGAATGTAAAGTTAATTTTAATTTTAATTGTTTTAATAAGTTAAATGGAACAAGAAGACAGAAATAATGTTAACTTTTAAAATGATTATCATTAATTTCCTGAATTGTAAAAGCTAAAAATATTTTGCTTAATTAATAAAATGTTACTACTGGCACTCAAGCTGATGTTATTAGTTTAGCACTTGTCATTTTTGTATACAAGTATATATTTAAATAATAGCGAGATTGCGGGCGAAGTTTTCATCTCTAAAACGTGAACGTCGAACGTCGAGCGCTCGACGTTCGACGTTCACGTTTTAGAGATGAAAACTTCGCCCGCAATCTCGCTATTATTTAAATATATACTTGTATACAAAAATGACAAGTGCTAAACTAATAACATCAGCTTGAGTGCCAGTAGTAACATTTTATTAATTAAGCAAAATATTTTTAGCTTTTACAATTCGTGAAATTAATGATAATCATTTTAAAAGTTAACATTATTACTGTCTTCTTGTTCCATTTAACTTATTAAAACAATTAAAATTAAAATTAACTTTACATTCGTTTCCATGTTTGTTAAATTGAATTGTCAAAACAAACTAAAACTATGAAATTCATAAAATTTATTAATTTTTAGTTTATATTCATTTATAGTGCTGTAACTTTTTATATTTAAATTATATTTAATATTATTTTTATTTCAAAATTACGAGTATGAATTAGTTGCATGAAATATGTGAGTGATGATTTTTGAGTCATTACAAATAATAGGTAATCAAATTATTTCGCTTTTATAAAAACAAACATAAATATATATACAGTATAACATCTTTAATACTTACAACACCAGACACTTTGGTTGTACCAATAAGATGGGTCTTGTAACTGAATTCAATGCAAGTGTGGTAGTATGGCCGAGTGGTCAAGATGNTTTCATTTGAATTTTTAAATTTAATTTTTCATAAATTTATCGAATATTTCAGCATTAAATTCATATTTTAAGTATTTACCATATTAGTAACTCACAATTACTTTGCATTTTACATACTGTTTGTATATGACCTAGATTTATCCCCTTTATGCAGGTCACCTCCAATGAAAGTAGCAACGACCATAAGTTATATTTTTATATGAATGTATATAACTACATCATATGCAAGTGATTTATTTTTTATATAATTTATAACTATTTATGAATATAAAATTTCATAAATAGTCTATATATTTTCATTAAGAGCTTATTTACATACTTCCTGAACATTATTTTGACCTCTTCATGTATGTAACATACAGAGATTCCTGTTTTTAAGTAATTTTGTATGCTTCATTGAATCTTCAAGAAGAGATATTTGAATAAACATCTTCCTTACACCTACATTTTATTTTCAAAGCCACACATTTAATTTTTATAGTATTTTCGCTGATTTTAACACTTCTAATAGCTTCTTTCTTTAATTATTTATATAATTTTTTCCTTTATTTGTTTACATTTACAGCTTTAGAAATCCTTATTTAAATAGAGATTTGAATAAAAATTTACAAAAAGTTTATATTTTTTAAATAAAAATTAATAACTTAACACCTAAACCTATCCAAAATTTGAAAAATAAAGACATTTAATCACATACTTAATTAAAATTTAATCAAATATTCCATTTAAGGAGTACTTTAAATGTACTATATTTAGAAACTTAATTATGTTGTTGAATATTTTGTTTAAAAATAATTTAAATATCAAATTGTAATCATTCGATTAAAAGCATGATATAACGGAAACAGGTATAACTTATATCCTCTGGTTGTTGCTAAGCGACTGATCACGTGTTTATTTGTACGTGTGACGCCATTTATCGTCACACCGTCGTTGAATCACAGGTGAGAGGTGTCCAGGTATATATCATTGTATTTGAATACACTATTTACTGTTAATGGTATACGTTGGTTTGAACAACGTACTTAGAAAATAGCATATGCTGTAAAGTAAGTGTTTTAATATTTTAAATTTTTATGTCCTTGACAGTTTCAATTTATTTTTATTTATAAATTACTATATATATAATACGATAACTGTATTAAATACTTCTTTCTTTCGTGTGAAATTTTACGTAATATTCTATCCTGTTAGTGTAACGATTGTGTTTCATTATTATAGTTTTATTGTACTGTTATGCGTTAAAAACTGTAATTAATGCCTTTTATATACGTAAAAAGTTCTACATTTGCGACAATATCCTATAAGTTTATATGTAGACTTATAAAGCGCAATATAAAAGTGCGCCTATATAAGGCATACTTATAAAGTGACACATAAAATGTACTTATTAATACAATTACTTAAGATCTATGCGTAACTCACTATACAAGCGCGAGGACCCGATTACATAGGGCCTGTTTATAACCGACTTTAGAGGCCTTCTGGGTGTTTATATAGAACTTTACCAATACATGATAGATTTCGATTTACAATTGCTACTATTTTGAGCTTATGTATATTTATATATAAATCTATTTAAGACCTTCGTGTACTTACTGATGCAACTATTTAAGGCCTACACATATTTGTATATCTCATTATTTAACACCTACGTGTAGCTATAGATGTTTAGGATCTACGTTTATTTAAATATGTTACTATTTAGGGCCTATGTGTACTTGTATATATGTTTAATTAGGGCCTACGTTTGTTTAAGTGTGATAATTTAAAACCTACGTGTAGATACTATCGTATAGGACTTAAATTTACAAGCAACAATATGCTTAAATAATATCATAAATAACTCAACGTATAACGTTTTAAATCTAATAAACCATATATTATATTCAGACCTACGCACTCGACAAACATCTGCTCAGTTTTTTTTATATAGGTAGAGAATTTTCATTATCTGTAGCATGATTCATTTTATTTTCCACGACTACGTAATGACTGAAGAAAAATTATACAGGTTATAATCAGAATATAATAATAATTTTTTTTAAGTGCTTATATGAATTAATTACTTTTTTATAAGGAGTTTGATTAATGTCGAAATTACTTTAAACCATATTAATTAACGTTATTCAACTATAAAACGAATTTAGTTTATGAGGTCAAAATCGTGAATATTCAAGCAGTAGATTATAGAATATCCTTGAACATTGCATTCAAATGTTTCTCTTTTATCAAGGGAATAGTTTCTTTTTCTAGAGTATACTAAGTTTATTTATTTAATAATTAAATATAAGATTACTTATTTTATTATCTTATTTTTTTCTCTGATAATTTTTAAAAATAAATTTATTTTTCGATAACCGAATATTTGTCCTTTTTATATACTTATTAAAGTAAATATTCGCTCTTATTTTAAGAGATTGATAATGAATATAAGTACAAATTCACTAATATTTAATTAATAATATATTAATTCATTTATAGGTCATCTATAGAGATGCAATATTCATGATGCAATCGAATGAATATCGCACAACAGATGCAATTACACAATCTTCGGATTTGAAAACAAGAAAACAGGTAAATAAATTTAAAAAATAATAATAATATTTGTAATATTAATTATAAATAAAATTCATTTCTAAATGAAATTGCAATTATTATCATTTATTTAAGGATTATTTATGAATTTTTTTCAGAATAAGTGACAACATAGGGTCTATATTTGAATATAAGTTGATAAAACATAATACAAATAGAATATATAACGAGTCTTTATGTAACTTGTAGATGCAATTGTATAGAGTTTTATATTGTTGTATATATCCTATACAATTGTATTATAAGTTATAAGTAGGCGTGTTTAGTTTAATTTCGCAACACAGTAAAAAAATATTATTATTTTATGTTCGAACACGTGATTACACGTCTGTGTTGTACAGGAAGTTCATAACACTCTCCCACGTTTGCTTATTGAGGTCCTAGATACTTGAATGTCCTTCAGATTTTGTTCTGGAACAAGTGAATACAATGAAAACATTAATCAGAAATATTAAAAGGACCTAATTTAATTACGGCTTTTTTTTAAATATTAAATTGCATTAAAATTTAGAAAACTTTATTTGTTTTGCTTTCTAATTCGTTTCTTTCGTCATGCTAACACGCATTAGAATTCACACGTGAAAGTACAACACGTGATTTTTCGAATCATTTCATGCGAGTAGGGTGACGTGGGAAAGTTGTAAATTTAATCATTACGAAACCTTTACAGTGTGAGAAAAATCGATATAAGAATCGTTAGAAAATGAACGTTTTTCACCCTCTAATGTTCCATTAAATTATATCGGATAATGATTATTAGCAGATTAAGTGAAGTCATGATCCTTTTGTATTAATTAATTTATTTTATGTATGTTTTTTTTTTTTAGTTGGAATCGGAAGTTTTAGAATTGAAAAAGAGAGTACAAGTGTCAGAAAAAACTTTGAAGAATGTGGAAGAACGTTATCGTCTTCACACTTCGCAAACGAATCAATTGTTTCTGTCAATGAAGAACCGAATTAGGAATCAAGAGGAAGTCATAAAATATCTAACAAAGGAGCGTGATATTCTAGTTAAAAATTTCATATCCAATTTACTTCTTTTGGAATCGGGTTTAAGAAAAGAACAGAAAGAAATTCAAAACTCTTTAGACGATAAGGATCGAATTATCGAACGTTTGAATCGTGAATTACAAAATATTAAATCTACCAAATGTATTAAAGTAGAGGAAAGTGAATTATGTGGAATCAAATCAAAAATAAACGATGCAATTTCGGACGATATGCACGATAGTGGAATAGAGATGACAACGGTTTTAGAATCGACATCGCAAAATCAATTATATTTTAAAAATTCGAATAATTTTCAAGATTTTCATGTTGATTCCGGTATCAAAGCTCGACATCTTTATGGAAGTTACGAAAGATTAACTGAAATTGGTATCAAAACTGCAATGGGATGTTATAATAGACTTTTCAATAATCATAGATCGGTAACGAAACCCAGAGACGTTAAACAGAGGAGGATTTTTCGACGCGGATCTGATAATAAACAGAAAACTATTTAATAAAATTTTCCGCATCTCTAGAGCGAAACAAACTGTGGTATATTTATTAAGTTCCATGTCGGTAAATTCTTGAAGGTTCCTATGTATTATGATCGTCTACCCGTATAAAAAAAGGTGTGGAGCTTACTAATGCAAATATGATTTTAAGATTTCATATAAATATAGCCTACTGTATGTCTTTTATATAAATGGAAAATATACGGTTTAATGTACTACATAAATATATGATAAAAGCTACAGGACTAATTCTTGTACAGATGCGATATTAATCTCTATAAAATACACAGACTTAACCCTGTGGTAGTCCTTTAATTACGTGTACAGTTTTGAGCTACTTTTGATCCTTTCCTTTTATGTACAATGATGTACTTTTGGCAAACCTCGTCCCTTTAATTATATGTATAATAATTCAAGGATCGCCCTAAAATTGAAAATAATGACTTTAAAAAGTTCTGCAAATATTTTCTAACTGATACTTCATTTATATTAGTAAATAAATACCACTAATACCAGTAAAAAAAGTTTATATAGACAATACCTGGGCCTTTCCCTCTCCATCTTATACAGTGGTGTGCTTTTCGTGGTCTCTTCCCCCTTAAACTGTATAATAATTAATGGACGACCTTTTTTGTATAAATACAAAAAATGTAATACAAAAATTATATTTAGATTTTACATAAAATGTGTATTTTTTTATATAAATGTAAAAGATATTCGTGAATTTCATATAAAATATCATTTTAACAAATATACAAATTATAGTATTTTAAGCTCCACATCCTTTGAAACTTTGTAAAGTTATAATATATTATTTCAATGTAAAAAAAATATTTTAAAACTATATTTTATTTTATCTAATTCAGAATTTATGCCTACGTACAGTACTTTTGTACTTTCGCTCTATAATTTCCTTCGTGTTAATAGAATTGTGCAATATTTATAAATATATTAAAGTATATTTTAATAAAAATTAAGTTACTTAATTATAGAAAAATTATTTTATAACTTCCGTAAGAAGTTTTTACTGTGATTATTAATCATCATTATTATTTATCTGGAGATAAAATGTTTAGAATATTAAAATATTATACTTTCAAATACATGCATTTATTTATATTTATAGAGAATTATACGAACTTTAACTGTAAAAAGTCAAAATTTCCTAAAATAGTAAATTATAGTAACTTTATAATATTAATTTTTGTGATATTTATGATCTGTAAATGGTTGTTTCTTTGAATTTTATTTTTTGTATGCATATATTTGCATAAAATTCATATTTAAAGAGAATATTTTTAGTTATTTTTTACTTTAAATGTGCATTCTAAATTTGTTCTACATGCACAAAAATCATGTTAAATATTTAGTCAATAATATAAAATTATAAATGGATAATGTATTATTCATTTATAATTGTTCTATTATCACAATATCAATATTGATTGAGATTATGAACTTGTTATAATTCTATTTCTCTGTTATAAATTAATTAATATATAAATAAAGGTTACAATACATAAAGATTTGCCAACAAATTTCATTAAGTAATACCAAAAAGTTAGGAAACTGTAATCGTTTAAATACATTTATATAATGACTATTGCTATAACAATCACGTATATGGAAGAGTGAAACACAATGGATTAAAATGCAAATTGGAGCAGTCTTTTATTAAATATGTTTTTATTAATTTATTTACAAATAATATATGTAATCGAAACTATATACAGTATATACAGTACTATTCTATTTTACAGTAAAGGAAACATAAGCAGGAACATGAATAATAATTAAATCTAATAATAGTATGAAAAAATAATTATAAAATCGCTTGTTAACAGGGCATTTTTCACTGTTCAATTATTGTAGGGTGTTCCTTTTTGAGGATTCTGGTACACCATTTGCAGTTTTGCTTCATATGTTCTATGATAAATTAGGCAATGAAATATTTCTGTTGTCCCCTAAACACATACAATATTTATTTTACTTAATGCTTAATCCAGCCGTGCTTGTTACAAAAGTTAGCTAAAATTATAATTTATAGTAGTGTCATAATGATTTATTCTAAGATGAATTAAATAGGAATTTATAATTCACTATATACAATATAATAAATAATCCTATAGTCCACCCAACGAAAGAGTAGACACTAGTCAGTCTGAGCTGGAAGGGTCTGTATCTGATAAAAGGAATGGAAGGAAACTTGTGGAAGTTGACACGTGGATCACAGAAATAAAAATCTACCAACGAGTTGCTTAACTTTTCCGGAAACATTTAAAACTGCACGTGCACTATCTTTTATGATATTTTACTGAAACCTTTTTATATTTTTAATTATTTTCAAATGGCAAAAAGCTTAATTTTAGGATAGGGATGAATTTTATACGAAATTGTAAATGCTAATAACAAATTAAAATCGTCATTATGTCCGATCCTAATAGATGAGGGTCGAGATATGAGACTCGGCCCTCTTCTATTTCCCCACTCGTTCGACCTTTAACAACCAAAATTTAATTGCATCAATACACAAACCTCCCAGCAAAATTTCAGAAATTTTCGACAAAAAGCACAGGATTTATTAATTAATTTTTATTATTATGTTAAATAGAGTATAAAATTAACATTTATTATAAGATTCGTTAAAAGAATATTAATTAGTAAATTAAAAAAGTAAATTAATTTTAAAATTAATTATTTTGCTTCGTGGAAAATATAATAAAACTATTTTAATTTCGATAAAATTATTTTTTTTAAACAAAAATAAATTTTAATTGAATCAAATTAAAGATAATGAATTATAAAACATCAAAAAACTTTCATTTTTAATTCAGTTTATAATTTAACAAACTCAATTAATAAATTGTTGAAAGGTCGAATATTTTAAAACATTTTTAAATTAAATAATTAAAATATTTCATTTATAATTTTAAAGAAAATTGAATGAAAAAGTTTTTTTTTTTTTTAATTTTAATATTTTAATTATATAAATATTTCTTCGTTAAAGAAGTCATATTTTTAGTCATTCCACTTAAAATAGATTGTGTAAAAGGAAACACGTAGTTATCTTTATAATGTTTGTTCAAAAATAATTAAATTAATCCAAAAATTCATCCGTTGTCTGTTTACTGCTTAAAACAAGTTTTTATACTGTACAAATAAGATCCAATTATTTGATAGAATCAAATATTATTAATAAAGTACGCCCTTTCAATGTGTATCGATTAAATTTTTATTATTTACTTTCTTATCAATTTAGTTATCTATTTTTTATAGTTCAACAAAGTGGAAGGGGCTCACTAGTGTCTGGCCGAGTGGATAAACCCTGAACATTCATAGTAATTAGTCGTGGATTCGCCCCTAACTAACCGACTTGTTATGTGGAGTTTTCCGGATTTTCTTCACAAAATAGAGATCATTTTCCCATAGAAAGCTCTCCCTGGAGGTACATTCCACTTGATAGATCAACCAACCAAGTGTTATCACGTAAATAGGAACCATCCTCCAAAGAAAGTCCTTCTAAGAAGCATTCTTCTTGGCGGCAAATCGCTCAAGTATTGCACTGCCTTATCCCATGATATCTAGAATCCTTTTTAATGAAAATGAACTTCATATATATGTTTTCGTTTTGTTGACTACACTGGAGAACAGAGATTATTATAGATATTTAGAAACTTCCAGAAAAGTAACTTGCAGTAAATTACTGAATTTCCATGGAATAAGACAACGCAACACGTGTGCAATGTACCAAGGATAGCTCCCGAGAGGACTTTCTATGGAAAACTGCCTCTTATTCGTTAGGCAAGTAAAGAAAATCAGTAAAACCACGCTGCCAGCTCGATGGCAAACGAACGTCTCGCCCCCAGAATAACTCCTGCAATTAGTGTCTTTAACTTGCATTGAGGTGTTTTTTTTTAAACTCTTTCCGCCCTGCGGACACTAAGAGGGTCTCTTTTAGTAAGCCCATTATGAGTTTAGCCAGGCCCACATTGGGACGGGGCCCGACATAACCGGACGGACTACCCCCTGAAAAATTTCTAGGAATTTTTCGACCGGTCCGAATTCGATTCCGGGTTTCTCAAAGCGGTAGGCTGCCATCTTGACCACTCGGCCATACTACCACACTTGCATTGAATTCAGTTACAAGACCCATCTTATTGGTACAACCAAAGTGTCTGGTGTTGTAAGTATTAAAGATGTTATACTGTATATATATTTATGTTTGTTTTTATAAAAGCGAAATAATTTGATTACCTATTATTTGTAATGACTCAAAAATCATCACTCACATATTTCATGCAACTAATTCATACTCGTAATTTTGAAATAAAAATAATATTAAATATAATTTAAATATAAAAAGTTACAGCACTATAAATGAATATAAACTAAAAATTAATAAATTTTATGAATTTCATAGTTTTAGTTTGTTTTGACAATTCAATTTAACAAACATGGAAACGAATGTAAAGTTAATTTTAATTTTAATTGTTTTAATAAGTTAAATGGAACAAGAAGACAGTAATAATGTTAACTTTTAAAATGATTATCATTAATTTCACGAATTGTAAAAGCTAAAAATATTTTGCTTAATTAATAAAATGTTACTACTGGCACTCAAGCTGATTTTATTAGTTTAGCACTTGTCATTTTTGTATACAAGTATATATTTAAATAATAGCGAGATTGCGGGCGAAGTTTTCATCTCTAAAACGTGAACGTCGAACGTCGAGCTCGACGTTCGACGTTCACGTTTTAGAGATGAAAACTTCGCCCGCAATCTCGCTATTATTTAAATATATACTTGTATACAAAAATGACAAGTGCTAAACTAATAAAATCAGCTTGAGTGCCAGTAGTAACATTTTATTAATTAAGCAAAATATTTTTAGCTTTTACAATTCGTGAAATTAATNAATTTAGTTGAGTACAATAAAAGTTTACAACATTAATTATAATGACTCCTAAAAAATTTGATATATGCTAAATAAACACATCTTTAGAAAGATCATTTTCCATAATAACAGCATGCTTATAATTTAGGAGCCACTTAAATATAGATTCAAGTTATATTCCTGTTCACGTAACATGCGTTACACACAGTTGTAAACGTAACACTTCACACAAGTTCTTGTCAACGGAGTATTCTCTCTGTGCAATATAAAAGTTTCAGCAGTCTTAGGATATTAAAAATAGATATTGTATATCTTACTGTATAACAATACAGGTCGGATGGCCGAGAGATCTAGGTGGCAGCCTACTGCTCTAGGAGACCCGGGATAAAATTCGGACAGGTTGAACAATTCCTAGGAATTTTTCGGAGGGGTCGTCCGATTATGTCAGGCTCAGTCCCTCAACACCCGGCTACCGAATTGTGAGCCTGGCCGAACCCATAATGGACTTGCGAAAAGAGTTAAGGAAAAAAAGTACAGTATAACAATACATTTTATTTATATTGAAACAATTATTTGTTCTGTATACGTACAAAATAAAGGCAGAAAAACGTGTTTTATGCAATATTACATATTCATTTTCGTTAATTAATTAAAACAATATTAGATTAAAATTATCTAAACTTTATTTCGTACAGTCTAGAATGCTTTTTTTTTCGTACGAATTTCTCCCTCGATATTTTTTTTAAATTCGCATTTTTCTCCTTTCACGATTTTATTTCCTCGATGGAGTTGCAATTAATTTTAACGTAGCTGATGCACGATTAGGACAGATATAAACGAACAAAAAGACGACATATTTAAATAATACAGAAAATAACCTGCATCTATCGTTTGACCAGAAAACGGTACTCTATTATCAAGCGATACTCTCTCGACCAACCATAAAAAGCAATTGTCGGCAAAAGCAAGAAAAAATGTGTCGTTACTTTTATATCTAAGATTTTAATGATTTTAAGGACTAGACGCTCATGTTAGCGAAACGTGAACCTGCGACCAGTTCCAGTGTACAGCGGTTTTATCTATTTGACCACTAGTGGGTCTCTGAGGCTATCAAAACAGTACATTAATGCCTTTATTACAGTGTTGGCCGTCAGCCATCACTAATATATATCTAAAACATTTAGGAAACAAAAGATTAACTATAATATAATTGCCGGCCGGATGGTCGAAGCAGTTAACATGCCAGCCTACCATTCTGGAAGACCTAGAAGGGTCGAAAAAATCCCATACATTTTTCGGGAATGGTCTGTTTCGGATAGGTTATAACCCGCTCCTTATCATCCGGCCGCTGTATCATGGCCTGGCCAAATCCACGATGGATACGAAAAAGATCATCTTAGTTTTCATAGTGAGAAAAAAAATTATAACATAATTTGTAATAAAACTAATTCATTTGTTTAATGTATTATTTATTTTAATTCGATAAAAAGTATTTTTAAAAAGGAAATTATAAAAATTACATCAAATTTTTAACGAAGAATTTTTTAAAATTTGACATCTGCATGGACAGCTGATTCAATAGAGCGAAAATTTATCCGATAGAGGACACTTTAGTTACGTCGAATGTTGTTCATTTTGTCGTCTGTTGTTATTAGATAGAGTTTTCAAAGATCGAATTTTATAGAAAATGGCTTTAAAAACAGTAGTTGGAATGAGTAAGTATCGATTATATACTTTACTACAAGAAAATATCTTCGTTTTGTTTTATAATGTTTTAAATAAGCCTTTATCTCAATCAAATGTTTTGACGCATTGCCAACTGGGCGTATTTAATCGATTAGAAATGAAAGGAAGTTGGACTGAAACAAAAACATTATCACTCATTTCACGTTATGATCGTGTTTATTTCGATTCAGTTTTATTTAAATGAGTTTTTTTAATTTAGAAATCGATCAAATATATTTTTTTTTGATTCAGAATTAGTTTTTCAATGTATTAACCGTATTTACTTATTCACTACGCTAAACAATGAAATTGAAATACCATTATTTTTATTAATAAGAAGAAACTAGGAAATAAATTTATTTTGTGATTATATAACATATTTTTTCTTTCTATTCATTTATAGCAAATTATAGGAAATTTAAACATTCTACTACTGTGATGCAATGTATATACATGAATCATGGATAAAACAGAGATATAAAAAAGTTTAGCTTTTTCTGTTTCTAAACAATCGAGTTTTTTGCACATGAATTTGATGATGGCGAAAGTTGAAACTGTATATTCTTATAAAAAAGAATTAAACGTTGTACGTTCCTTGTAGCGGAAAATCTTAAGCGGAGTAAAATAACAGCTTGTTTGTTAAGAAGTTAGTTTGTATGTTCTTGAACAGTGTATGGAGAATTATATGTATACCGGTTTTATTTGAATAATAGCCATTGTTACTATTTTAAACTGCATATTTTCTCTACAGTTGACAAACACTCATCACACTGGGATATAGTTAATCACATACTCTGAACCAGTTATAGCGTGTAGATAACAAAAACGAACACTATTCCAAATGCTGTTACGAAGAATTGTCGGGGGATTGTTAAAAAACCCGATGAAGAACTCTGAAGGAGTTTGAAAATGTTCGTTTTTATTTGTTTTCATTATCTACGTGCCGTTAATTGGTTCAGAGTATGCGATTCTCTACAGTTATTGTTTGAGAGCAGTTAAGTGGGGTAAACACTATAATTTTTATGGCTGACTGTGAGTGGTGGAGGATGGGTTTGTTGCCCAACAATGTAGAGGAGCAAACACTAGGCAGTATTTTCTTCCATCAATCAGTCATGCGATATAGCATTTTCAAACAAAAATGGTTGCTTCCATCCAGTGATGTGCTGTTATTTCTTTTTTTATTGGCATTCTGAAATAAGTCATCACACTTATTTCAGAATTATTTTCCCATTGTTTTTATCATCATGATTATGATGATGGATGTCAATAGTAGCTACTCGTAAAGGCTTAATTACACTGGGCAAGTTTACTAACTATTTCTTGGTGTGTAAAATAGTGGGTGGGTGATCATGTTGCAGCTAGTGCAGTGAGTGTTGATTACACATAGCTTGTAAATTTGCTCATCGCCAACTGGGTGTGCTTGTGGCAAGTTGACCGGAAAATCCCTCACTCTTGTATTTATTTTTCTGTGAGCTATTGTGTAGTAATAGTTGTGTAGTAGTAATAATAATAGTTGTTTTTTCTTTATTCCAACTCTTTTCAAAGTAAAAGGACTACAAGTATAGTTTCTGCACAAACTAGTACTGTTACTATTTCCCAACTACTGAAAACACTTGGCAATTTTACTAGCTAGATATATTGCACATGGTGAGTTTACTAGCCAATAGCAAGAGAAGTAGCCCAGCCTTCATCTTCATTTGCACTAGTAGAGCAAACTGCAAGTTTACCAGACAATGTTATTACACAGACCAAATTTAGTATCAGCAAGTAGCTACTAAACTCATATAGTGTAATTGAGACTTAAATTGGCACTAGTATCATGTGAGATGTTCTCTGATTGGTTGTTAGTGGTAATAATTTATCATGTTTTCCAAAATTTTGGAAAACTAATATTGGCCATCTTGTTAGGCAACACGTTTTATGATGCCAAAATTTTCCAGAAGACCACATTAGGCAGCAAAATTATGTAGTGTATGCCCCATTTTATTATTTCCTTTGTACATAACTATGTGATGTCTTGTGTTAATAAAGTATTTAAATATTTATTTATGAAAGTTTATTTTAAAAAAAACTTTAAATGGCAATTGGTATCTTTCTTTATAATGAGTGCCATTTTCCATGTGTGTGTAATATGAAAATTAAAAAAATACACCTGCCCTATATTGCAGATTTTATATGTTTTGTTTTCTATTAAAGTTTATTTATTAAATAAATATGGTGCCTACCTATTGTAGTTTACAATATTTGTTAATTTTACATTGTTTCTCTGTGATTTTAGTAATTCTCAAATACAGCTAGTAGATGCAGCTGCTGTTCAAAGATGGTTATTATTTCAAGCTTTAAAGATGAGATGCAATTACTATTTGAAGCTGGTTATTATTTGAATAAAACCAGCATTTATATTTTTAATATGGCTTATAATTAAATTTTTTAACTATATCATCAAGAATTTTTATTAAATTATTTTAATTGTAGATGATATTTCCAAATATATTTATTTTATGTATTAATAAAATCAAAATTATCTTTATAAATTATTTTCATATTATTGTTGAAGTGTCCTTTTAATAATCAAATCATATAGCCAAATTCTTATCAGGCTATACTATGGCTAATTAATTATTAAAATACTAAATAATTTGGACTAGAGACAAGTGGTTAAGCTGCCATCTCTTGTACATCTTTTCTTTCAGAATATTTTAAATTACAATACAGTAATACCCCAAACTTACGCGATAGGTGGGACCGAGCGATAACCGCGTAAGTCGGGGTAGCATAAGTCGAGGTATTACTGTATATTGTTTTTTATGATCAGATTTAGCATGAGAGGACAACTTAACTGACTCCAATATAAATTACTTAGATCAGATATAACACCAGATAATACATAAGATATAATTAAGAAGTATCTGATAAATAGTCATTTTTATTGGCATGTAGATTAATTACATTGATCAGTGATCAGATTTAGTATATTTACTGTTTAATCTTTAAAGTTCCAATAAGACAAAAGACAATTTCTATATGATGGATTTTGAAATTTTCTAGGACTAACTTGTTTTAAGTAGCTGCTGATTGAGTTAATTGATGTTACAATTAAAGATTTTGAAATTTTGAAAGCATTAGTTACCTAATAGAAGCATTCAATGATGATAAATTTTTAATTTAAAATTATTCTGAGGAAATTAAATTTCTAAATTTAAAATTTAATTGTACTTAAATTATAAGATAAATCTTTTTAATATATATTAAATTGCTAAAAACATCAATTATGATGACCACTGCATTAAATTTTATTTCTTAGATATGAAAATTTAGCATTTAACTTAATATTCCATTCATTTCTGAATCAGAATTCACATAGATAATAGTCATAATGTAAAGTTTTGATATAAAATGAAAAATATTTGGAAAAGGAGGATTTTATTACTTTCCCAGCTCTGTTATATATAACAGGAAAAGTATGGTGATCAGTCAAAAAATAACTTTCCCAAGATTTCTACATTTCTGGACTTGAAATGTTGAGACATGCAAAAAAAAATTTGGGGATTTTTTTGTGTGTGTCTATGGGGCACGATCTTGTTTACTCTCTTTGAGGCTTAATAATTCCTGTACTTTTTCTAAAAAATTTCAGAAATTTTGCAAGGAGGTTTGTTTGTTAGGGAGATTGATGCTATTAAATTTTGGTTATTAAAGGTCGTGTCATATCTCCAATAGGGTCAGATGTAATGACAATTTTACTTGTCATTAACATTTACAATTTTTATAAAACCTATTCCTACCACAAAATTAAGCTTTTTTTTCCATTTTATAATAGTTAAAAATATAAAAAGTTTTTAAAAACATCATAACAGAGGGTGCCACCAAATGTTGCCAGGAAAATTAAGCAACTCATTACTGGATTTTTTTTAATAGTGTTATTAACATTCTGGGACATTGTAGGCCATCTCTGTGAGCTAAAAGAACCAATAGCATATAGCATCCCTTCACAAGATACTTTGCTCCAACATTTTTATTTTTTGATTAAACCAGATTAGATATTTCTAAAAACGAGTGCCAGTATTTTTTGTTTTCTAAAGTTCTCTCAGTTGCTCAATGAAAGAAACTTGTACAGTCAACTCCCCTATAAAACTGTTGATAATTCCGTTTTATATGAATTCCGTGTTATACGAGTCACTTAAATTTTACAAATACGTGTGCCAGGCTGTGAAAGGCTCATGTATTTGTAAAATCTAAGTGACTCGTACAACACGGAATTCATATAAAACGGAATTATCAACAGTGTTATAGGGGAGTCGACTGTATAATTTTTGTTGAACATAATAAATACTGATTTGTTAAACATAAAACATGCTATACAAAACTGACCTTGCACTCAATATATAGTGCAAGTAAATGCTATTTGAGTATTACTCTGGTCTAATTTTTTCCAGAATAGTCTAAGTTAAAACATTAATTCTAATTATTAAAAATACCAAAAAATTGTGACTTAATTGTTTCTCTCTAACCAAATTGATTTATTTCTCATTTATTAGCCTTATTATGGCCCAATTGATAATCTAGCAGTTTATTTGACAATTCAAATATGTTAGGTTGTTTCTTTTGTGTAGGTGTGTTGTAATAATAATTTCATTTTTAAAGATATAAGTGATCTTGTACATTTCATGTGTATATAAAAATTATTTATGAACAATTATTTTATCATGTTTGTATTATAATTATTATTATTTTCATTTTCTCCTCCCAAAAATTAAGGAGCCAAAAATAAAACCTTGCACAAGGCAAGTGAAAAGGTAGTTACAACACTGGGTAGAGCTAAAATCTTATTCAAAATCAATTTTATTAAGAATGGTATAAAGTATACAATTGTCTATTTCTATTCAGTATTATTGTATGCAATCTACCATACATATTAAATTTCCATACTATGTCAGCTAATGATTTATATAGAAATGTTTGTTGGTTTTATTTTTTAATTTTTTGTGTTTTT